CTGGGTCCACCCAGGAGCTACAGTCAACATTTCTCCTCAAAACGGAATCAAAAGTTGCTTGTAAAACAGAATGTTCTAGGGCAAAGCACAGCCTGAAAAAAACATCATTTAAACAGAATGAAAAAAAGGGCTGGAGGAATGGCTCAGCAGTTAAGAGCACGGGCTGCTCTTGCAGAGGAGGTGCTCTTTATTCCTGTTCCAGGGGTTCCAACATCCTCCACTGGCCTCTGTGGGCATTGCACCCATGGGTGCACTTATATACATGCAGGCAAAACACTCATACACTAAAAATAAAAATAAACCAAAAAATTTTGAGCAGGTATGGTGGCACACGCCTTTAGTCCCAGCACTGGGGAGGCAGAGGCAGGCGGATCTCTGTGAGTTCAAGGCCAGCCTGATCTACATAGTGAGTTCCAGGACAGCTGGTGCTACAGGGAGACCCTGCCTCAAAAAGACCAAAAATAAAACAAACAAACAAACAAATCTTTTTGGAATAAGGTATATTTTAAAACTACAACAGATATACAGTTTTTGATCTATCTGGTGCTTACACCTGGAGTTACGGATTTCTGATTGAAACAAAGTCCTTTTCTAGTTTTATTTCTAATATACACTGTATGTATTCAAAAAAGACAGAATGAGCTTCCAAGTCTAAAATATTTTTGTGTGATGTGATGTGTTTATGATTTGGCCAGCCAGGTCTACATAGTGAGTTCCAGGACAGCTGGGGCTACAGGGAGACCCTGCCTCAAAAAGACCAAAAATAAATAAATAAATAAAAATAATAAAAAAAATAAAGTTCACCTGAGGATACAATTTTGCCTTGTGCCTGTACCCCAAACCAACCAGTCCAAGGCTGGATTGCCCCAACCCTGGACCAAGATATATTAGAAATACAGTTGAACAGAAACTGAGTTTGATGGTCATTAAGGGAAGGAGAAACTTACCCCATTGGTCAGAGATGGGTGCACTGTAGCCAAATGTAGGTGGGGGTAGGTGATGTGTGCATAGTACACACACGTGAGGGTCTGAGGTGATGTGTGTGCATAGTACACACACGTGAGGGTCTCAGACTCTCAAGTGCATTGATAGAGGAGTGGTGTGTGCACAGCCCAAACCAAGCAGAGTCCTGGGTCACTAACAGAGTCCCTATGCTTGCCTGCCTCAGTCTACATAGTGAGTACGAGGCCAGCCAAGTCCACTCCTCAAGCTGCTGAGGGTGACATGGAGCTGTACCTCTGTTCTCTCACCATTGACAAAACTATAAGCTTGAAAACCTCAGAGTAAAGAAAGTAAGAAATACAAAGCATAGCTTTTCATGTTATTTCTTTGTTGCAGACTTACAGTTCTGCTGACAGTACAAAGAAAGCATCCTCAGATCCTATGTTTTTGCCTGTTTAGAGGTTTTATTTTTATTTCATTTTATTTTAAAAATACTTGTTTATTTTTACTTTATGTGCAAATGTAATGCCTGCATGTATGTAAGTATACCCATGTCATGCAATGCTTGAGGAGGCCAGAAGAGGGATGTTGGATCCCCTGGAACTAGAGTTAAAGATGACTGTTAGCTGCTATGTGGGTGCTGGGAACTGAACCCAGGTCCTCTGCCAGGGCAGCCAGTACTATTAACCACTGAGCCATCTCTCTCAAGCCCTTTTTATTTGATTTTTTTGGGGGGGGTTCTTTTTGAGACAGGGTCTCCCTATAGCCCCAGCTGAACTGGAATTAGCTATGTAGACCAGATTGGCCTTGAACCCACAGAGATCCACCTGCCTCTGCCTCCCAAGTGCTGGGACTAAAGGTGTGTACCACCACACCCGGCTTTTTCTTTTCTTTTTTCGGTCTTTTTGAAGCAGGGTCTCCCTGTAGCCCCAGCTGTCCTGGAACTCACTATGTAGACTAGGTTGGCCTTGAACTCACAGAGATCTGCCTGCCTCTGCCTCCTAAGTGCGCCACCATGCCAGCTTTTTTTTTTTAAGATTTATTTATTTATTTTTTAGGGGTGTGTGTGTGTGTGTGTGTGTGTGTGTATGCCATGTGTATGTGGGTGCCCATGGAGACCAGAGGAGCTGGAGTTACAGGTAGTTGGGAGTCACTTGAACACAGGTCCTCTGGAAAAGCAGGAAGTGCTCTCAACCACTAAGCCATCTCTTCAGGCCCCCCTTGATTTTTTGAGACAGGGTCTCACTATGTAGCTGTGGCTAGCCTGGAACTCACTATGGAGACCAGACTGGCCATGAACTCTTAGAGATCTGCCTGCCTCTGCCTCCCAAGAACTGGGATTAAAAGCGTGCACCACCATATTCAGCTTAGGTTTTATTTTCTTTAAGCTGTATGCTTAATGATGGGGCCAAATGAACTGGAAAAAAAAAAATCTTAACAGATTCAGAAGATTTTAAAAGAATTTTTTCCAAGTGACTATGTATATGTGTTGTGGTGAGTCAGTTTCTCTGGGAAATAAGGGTAAAAAAATCTCAAGAAGTGATAAAATCTGTGAAGTGTGGAAGTCCATGCTTCTTGGACTTGGGCCTTCCCACCTACTTGTTTACAAAGGAAGTTATCAGCGGGGAGGGAAGCAGCCAGCCTCGGTGGCCTGCTGGTCTCATGGAGGGAGGAGAAAGAACTCCAGTTTCTGAACAAAAGTCTGAGAAGACAAGTTCCCAGAAGCAAAAATAAGTCTGAAAGCCAGAAATGAAAGGATACAAAGTCCTCTGACCTCACTGGCTTTGTGAGGAAACTCCCTAGGAAACAAGGGAGTTGCTGAGGCTCCTGCAGTCTTTCAAATGGAGGCGTGGAGAGTGCATGAGTCACAAGGCTCTGAGGCTCCCTGAGGAACTGCTAAGTCTTCCCATTTAAAAAAACATTAATTTTCTTTACTTTGTGTATGAGCGTTTTGCCTGCCTGGCTTTGTGAGGAAACTCCCTAGGAAACAAGGGAGTTGCTGAGGCTCCTGCAGTCTTTCAAATGCAGGCGTGGAGAGTGCATGAGTCACAAGGCTCTGAGGCTCCCTGAGGAACTAAGTCTTCCCATTTAAAAAAACATTAATTTTCTTTACTTTGTGTATGAGCGTTTTGCCTGCACGTGTGCAAGTGCCATGCAATGCCCACTGAGGCCGGAAGAGGGCATTGGATGCCCAGGAACTGGAGTTATAGAGGGCTGTTATCTGTCATGTGGGTGCTGGGAATTGAACCCAGGTCTTCTGCAAGAGCAGCCAGTGCTCTTAACAACTGAGCCATCTCTCCAGCCCCTCCTTTTTGTTTTTGTTTTTTTTTGTTGTTGTTGTTCTCTTGCCTCTCCCGAGTGCTGGGATTAAAGGCATGCGCCACCACACCCGGCTCCTTTTTGTTTTTTTGAGACAGAGTTTTATGTAGCCCAGGCTGGCCTCAAACTGAATATGTATCTGAGGATGATCATGAACTCCTGATTTCTCTGCCTCTACCTCCCAAGTGCTGGAGGTATAGCTCTGTACCGCCATGCCCCATTTTTGTTTTGTTTTTAAAACAAAGACTCATGTTGGCTGGTCTTGAACTTGCTATGTGGCAGAGACTGACTTTGAACTTCAGATCCTCCTGCCTCTACTTCCCTCATGCTGGGATTATAGGCAGGTGCTGCCATGCCCAGCATAGCACAGGAGTTCTAATTTGTCTCTGAACTCAAGGCCCAATGTCTACCTTGAAAATTCAATTATAGATCATATAGATGGCCTGCTATTTCTGTCTCAAGTCTCTCTCTCTCTCTCTCTCTCTCTCCTCTCTCCTCTCTCTCGTGCTGGGACTGGACCCAGAGTTTTCAATGAACTATAACCTAGCCCCCATCTCTTTTTTTTTTTTTTTTGGTCTTTTTGAGACAGGGTCTCCCTGTAGCCCCAGCTGGCATGGAACTCACTATGTAGACCAGGCTGGCCTTGAACTCACAGACATCCACCTGCCTCTACCTCCCCAGTGCTGGGATTAAAGGCGTGCACCACCACACCTGGCTTTTTATAGCTTTTACGTTTAAATAATAGAGGGGCTGAAGAGATGGTTAGGTTCACTTCCCAGCACCCACATGGTGGCTAACAACCATCCATAATTCTAGTTCCAGGAGATCTGATGCCCTCTTCTGGCCTCCACAGGCATTGCATGCACATGGTACACTTACATACCTATAGGCAAAACACTCATACATATAAAACTAAAAAAATTTTTTTCATTAATAGATTTATGATTATAAAAAATTCAAAATGGACTAGTCATGGTGGTGCATGCACTTGGGAGGCAGAGGCAGGCAGATTTCTGTGAGTTCAAGGCCATCCTGATCCACATGGTGAGTTCCAGGCCAGCTGGGATTATAGGGAGACCCTGTCTTAAAAAGACCAAAAATATAAATAAATTTTCAAAATGAAAATCTCATTCCTGCCTCTATTGTCCATTCTTTTCTTTTTCTTTTATTTCTTTTTTATTTGTATTTATTTCTTTTTTGGTCTTTTTGAGACAGGTCTCCCTGTAGCCTCAGCTGGAAAGGAACTCACTATTTAGACCAGGCTGGCCTTGAACTCTCTGCCTCTGCCTCCTAAGTGCTGGGATTAAAGGCATGTACCACCACACCTGGCCTTTTTTGTTGTTGTTGTTGTTTTGTTTTATTTTATTTTGTGAGATGGTCTCATGTAGCCCACACAGACTGGCTTCAAATTCTCTAAGTAGAGGAGGTTAGCTCTGAACTCTGGATCCTCCTGCCCTACCTCCAGAGTGCTGGGATCAGAGAGTGTGCTCCCATACCCAGGCTCATCCTCTCAGTCCAGCAATTGAATTAGGATTTTATGTCTCTTTATGAAAGTGGAAGCAAACAGTAAGCAAAGAGGCTTTTTTTTTTCATTTTTTAAAGATTTTTTAAGAATTTTTATTTGTATGAGTGTTTTGCCTGCATGTATATATGCACACTGTGCGTGTGCAGTGCCCAAGGAGGCCAGAAGAAGGCGTCGGATCCCCTGGAACTGGAGTTACAGGGTGTACTGAGCCCTCCGATGTGGGTTCTGGGACTCAAACCTGGATCTCTGTAAACAGAGGAGCAAGCACTGTTAACCAACCACTGAGCTGTTTCTTCTGCCCTTATTCACCCTTTTTCATACAAAACAGCAAGGTCTATTTTTTCAGGCAGATTTCCTTTTTGGGGCACTTGTTTCCTGATTCATTAAGAAAGGAGATTTTGTCAGCACTCTCCGCAGTCCCTTCTCAGCAGCTGCAAAGCCCCAAGTCCCCCTGCCAGCTCTGCCTCTAGACTTTTTGAGGTTTTGTTGTTTTTTTTTTTTAAAGAAAGTAACACTTGCTCAGCTGGTTTTGTCAGTGACCTTAAATAAAAGCATTCAGGGTGTGGCTCACCGATGCTGGTCTTTAGTGATTTAAGAAAATCCAGTACACAAATGTCAGTATTTCCAAAGCAAATTAGGGAGTGGTTGCTTGCATTACAAATGAACCTTGCAAAACGATTCATTTAAGGCTTGTATTTACAAGAATGTATTTACATGCACACAACACACATATATACATCTTTTTCTTTTTAAAAATGATTTTTAAAATTTTTATGTGTATGTATAATTTGCCTGGATTTATGTAAACCCAGCACATGCATGCAGTGCCCAAGGAGACCAGAAGAGGGTGTCAGATCCCCTGGAACTAGAATTATGGATGGCACAAGTCATTATGTGGGTGCTGGGAAGCAAGAGCAGCCAGTGCTCTTAATCACTGAGCTGTCTCTCCAGCCCCTACATCTTCTTTTTTTTTTTTTTCTTGTCTTATTTTGAGACAGGGTCTCCCAGTAGCCCCAGCTGGCCTGGAACTCATGATGTAGACCAGTCTGGCCTGGAACTCACAGAGATCTGCCTGCCTCTGCCTCCCAAATGCTGGGATTAAAGGTGTGTACCACCACAGCCGGCTCCCTACATCAGTCCATGTTGGCCTGGAACTCATGACTCATGGGTGAGGTTCCTGCCTCTGCCTCCTGAGTGCTAGGATTACAACTGTATAACACCATGCCTGGCCACATATTTATTTATTAAAATAATAGTACTTATGCCAGGCGTGGTGGTGCACGCCTTTAATCCCAGCACTTGGGAGGCAGAGGCAGACAGATCTCTGTGAGTTCAAGGCCAGCCTGGTCTACATAGTGAGTTCCAAGACAGCTGAGGCTACAGGGAGACCCTGTCTCAAAAAGACAATAATAATAATAATAATAATAATAATAATAATACTTATATGTGGTACAAAATTCAAAGGCGTAAACAGTACAGACCCTCTACCTAACTGGGCTTGACCCTCTAGCCACTGGGTGGATCATGTCTAACTTCAAGGTCTTTCTTGGATAAGTCAAGGCTAGCCTGGGCTGCCAGAGACCCTATCTAAAATTAAAAAAAAAAAAAATAGTAATAAACAAAGGCCAGCTAAAAGGTCATCACATAAAAGCACCAGCTTCTAAGACTGAAGCCCTAAGTTCTATCCCTGGGACTTATAGGATGAAAGGAGAATCCTAGTTCACACACACACACACACACAGAACGAGAGTCTAAAAATGTAATTAAAACATTAACGAATATATAAAAGGGCTGGAGAGATGCTCAGCAGTTAAGAGCACTGGCTGCTCTTGCAGAAGACCAAGGTTCAATTCCCAGCACCCACATAGTGGCTGACCACTGTCCATAACTCCAGTTCCAGGGGATCCAGCACCCTCTTCTGGCTTCCACAGGCATTGCATACATGCATGTGGTATGCCTACATACATGCAGGCAAAACACACATAAAATAAAAGTAATATAAATCTTTAAGAAAGCAAGTAAGCAGGCTGAGGATGTAGCTCAGTTGGCAGAGTGCATGCCTAGCACGCACTTAGGCTCCATCTTCAGCACCACATAAATCAGGAGAGGTGGCACAGACCGACTTGTGTATCCTTATTATTCATTGACATCAGGGAGTGAACAGACAGGATCATTTTCAACGTGTGACAGCACACACACACAAAAAACAGAAGTGCAGGTGAGCATCATAAGAGGAAACATTTTCCTTAACTTTGTGTTTGCCACATGGCGCTTCTCTGTTAATACTGATAATTGATTGATCCGCTAGTTGAATGGTATTATATGATCAGACACTAGACACTCAGATAATAGCAAAAAAAAAAAATCATGATTGCTAGGCATGGTGGTGCACGCCTTTCATCCCAGCTCTCAGGAGGCAGAGGCAGGCAGATCTCTGTGAGGCCAGCCTGGTCTATGGTCTATGTAATGAGTTCTAGGTCAGCTGAGATTTACAGGGAAACCCTATCTCCAAAAAAAAAAAAAGTTATGATTTATGATTAATTTTCTCAGTAGTTTGTGCCTCAACCAAAGAAAGAATACATGAATCCAATGGATATTTTATATCCTAATTCTATACGTATTATATGTATATGGAATACGTACATATACATATGTATATGTTGGTTTAGGGGGGTCTTTTTGAGACAGGGTTGGTCTCCCTGTAGCCCCAGCTGGCTTGGCACTCACTGTGTAGACCAGGCTGGCCTTGAACTCACAGAGATCCATGTGCCTCTGTCTCCTGAGGGCTGAGACTAAAGGCATACAACACCAGAGCCAGTTTTCTTTTGTTTTTTTGGGACAGGGTCTCCCTGTAGCCCCAGCTGGCCTTGAACTCTCTATGTAGTTCAGGCTGGCCTTGAACTCACAGATATCAACCTGCCCCTGTCTCTCAAGTGCTGGGATTAAGCCTGTTCCACCTCACTAGACATACAAATATATACGTAATATATATTATATATATATATATATAAAATATTTTTTTCTTTTTCTTTCTTTTTCGGTCTTTTTGGGGCAGGGTCTCCCTGCAGCCCCAGCTGCCTGGCATTTACTATGTAGACTAGACTGGCCTCCATCTCACGGAGATCCACCTGCCTCTGCCCCCAATGTGCTGGGTTAAAGGCAGGCACATGCAGAGGCAGGCAGATCTCTGTGAGTTCAGGCCTAACCTTGTTTAATAGTGAGTTCAGACTAGGTCGACCTCATTATATGGCTGAGGATGACCTTGAACTTCTGTTCTCCTGCCTTCACTTTCCAAGTTCTGGGATCATAGGCATTGGCTGTCACACCCAGCTCTCCGTCCTTGAGACAGGACACCTCCCCACTCTGCTTCAGGCCCCTCAGATTAATCTCTGAGCTCTCTCTCTCTCTCTCTCTCTCTCTCTGTTTTTTTTGTTTGTTTGTTTTTTGTTTTTTTGAGACAGGGTCTCCTTGTAGCCATAGCTGGCTTGGAATTCACTATGTAGCTCAGACTGACCTCCAACATTCTACGTAGCCAAGGATGACTTTGAACCCCCCCGGTACTCCCCCTCCCCAAGTGCTGGGATTACAGGCATGTGCCCCCATGCCTGGCTTCTATTCCTCTCCTATGTCCCAGCCTCCAACTGTTCTCGACATCAACATCCTTCATGCAGGCTAATGGATTCATGCCTCTTGTTTGGCGACTCTGAACAGTGTGGTCGTTCACCCATCCCTTCTCCTTAAAGCACTTGGTTTACTGTCATCTTCCTGATGACAATATTTTCTACATGGTTTTGGATGGCTTAGCCAGTAATTGCCAGCTTGGGGACTGGATTTTCTTTCTGCCTTTACAAATACCTAGTTATCTCTAATGCACCCTTCTCTCAGCTCTGAGAGCCCTTCTCTGTCCCCATGATCAGTCTGCATGGCTTCTTGTGTTTGCCCAAGTAGCAGTTATCACAGATTGCAATTAGATGCACTCTAGTCAGTCTATAACCACAGGATACCCCCTGGGTTTTTCTTAAAGATGTCTTGGGATTTCTGTGGTGGCAAGACACAGGTGAGGTGGCTTTCTTCTCCTGAATGTCATTTGTGCTGCAGGTCTGGCTGCAGGGGTACTGAGAGCTTGAAGCATGCATGTGTGCTAGTTTAAAGGGCTCTGAGTGCTCCCTTCCCTTCTCTCATGGGTTGTAATTTTGCTGGGTGTCTTTCCAGACAATGTCAAAAGTAGTTATTGGAAATGATTATAGCAGCAATCCTTGGGCTGTGGGTGGAGCTCAGTGGTACTGTGTGCTAAGGATGCACAAGGTCCTGACTCTGATACCTGGAACACCACCAAAATATGCCCAAATGTCTGAGAGTATCCAGCCCTCCATACCTGGGATCAAACCCAGGGACTTGCACATGCTAGGCAAGCACTCTACCATTGAGCTATGTCCCTGACCTTGTGGTTGTTCTTTTAAATTTTATTTATTTTGATTTGATTTGATTTTGATTTTTTTTTTTTTTTTGGTCTTTTTGAGAAAGGTTCTCCCTGTAGCCCCAGCTGCCCTGGAACTCACTGTGTAGACCAGGCAGGCCTTGAACTCACAGAGATCTGCCTGCCTCTGCCTCCCAAGTGCTGAGACTATAGGCATGGGCCACCACACCCAGCTATTTATTTTTATTTTATGTGTATGAGTACTTTGCCTGCATGTAAGTGCACCACATGCCTGCAATGCCTGCAGATGTCAGAAGAGGGCGTCACATTCCCTGGAAATGGAGTTACAGATGGTTGTTAGCCACCATGTGGGTGCTGGGAACTAAACCCTGGTCAGCCAGTGCTCTTAATTGCTGAGCCATCTCTCCAGTCCCGTTTTGTTTTGTTTTGTTTTTGGAGTCAGGGTCTCTCTGTAGGGCTAGCCTGGAATCTTACAGAGATCAGTCTGCCTCTGCCTCCTGAGTGCTAGGATTAAAATATGTACTACTAAGCCCAGGCTTTGTGTGTGTGTGTGTGTGTGTGTGTGTGTGTAAGATTTTATTATTTATGAATTTCTTTGTGTCTGTGTAAGTGCATGTTCACATGTGTGTGATGGTGCTCCCTGTGCAGAAGTCAGAAGAGGGAGTTGTGAGTCCTCCTCTACCAGTCACCACCTATTCCTGTCCTCACCCACTCTAGGAGCAGGGGTTACAGGCCAGCGAGGGATACCTGGCTTGTTATGTGGGTGCTGAAGTTAGGATTCTGGACCTTACAATCATACATCAAGATTTTGTAACATCTGAACCAGATGCCCATCCAAGTTTTTGTGGGTTGTTTTTCTTTTTTTTTTAGTGTGTATGAGTGTATTGCCTGCATGTATGAGTGCACCCGTGTCGTGCAATGCTGCGGAGGTCAGAAGAGGGCTTCGGATTCCCCTGGAACTGGAGTTAAGGAATGTTCGTAGCCACCATGTGGGGTCTGGGAATTGAACCCAGGTCCTCTGCAAGAGCAGTCAGTGCTCTTAACCGCTGAGCCATCTCTCCAGCCCCTTGTTTTGTTTTTGTGGCAGAGTCTCCCTATAGCCCCAACAGGTCTGGAACTCACTATGTTAAGTTCTAGGCTGCCTTGGATTTTACTGAGTCGCCTGCCTCTGCCTCCTGAGTGCTGGGATTAAAGACATGTGCCACCATGCCCAACTTGATTTTTTTTTTTGAGACAGGACTTAGACTGGCCCAAAACCCTCTACAAATTCCACAGTGACCTCAAACTCAGAGTAATCCTACTGCCTCAGTGTTCTCAAGTGCTGAATTACAGGTATGAGCACCATACCCACTCAGCTGTGGTCTCTGTATGGCATCTCACCTAACAACCCAGGAAGACAACAGTTACCAGGGATCTCCTGGAGTCCCTTCCCTAACTCCCACCCTAGAAGACCTGGCACAGGCCTTGGAAAACCCAGACCTCTGAATTCTCCTGCCCATACCCCCTCAGTCAGGCAGGAGAAGTAGAGGGGATTCTGTGGAGTTTTGTGTGGTCTCTACAACATAAGGTCTGATCCCCACCAAGTCATGGTCCAAAAAACAGTAAAAGACTTTCTCTTTTAGCTGCATGTACATCTCTCTAAAACTGAGGCAGCAAGGTCTATTTAACCGAGTCGGGAAAGCCACAGAGAGAAGACAATCCTGGGAACGAAAGTCATCAGTTTCTGTTTCCGAATAAGCCTGGTATGGTGGCACACACCTATAAATCTCAGCACTTGGGAGTTAGAAGCAGGAAGATCAGAAGTTCAAGGTCAGCCTTGGCTACAGAGCGACTTTGAGGCTAGGCTGGACCCTGTCTAAAACAAAGTTCTAAAATAGCATAGCATCCTGACAGGGTTCTGAGGAGCTAAGGAAACACTGCTTTGGATACAGCAGATAAGTCCAGAGCTACCTGATGTCCACACAAGGAGAACAAATGAGTATAATAGGAAGAAAAAGATTTTCATTATCCCAGAAGGTAGAAACAGGGGGACATACTGGGTCTTCTTCAGTCTTGTTGAAAGGAATGTCTGGGGGAAACAGGAAAATTCTGTGATTGCTGGAGAGGGAAGGGGATGAATAATTTGTAATATTAACAAAAATAAGACACAAAAAGAAGCCTAAATGTAGCTAGCGACCAAGTCAATAATCACCCACGTAGCTCCTCTTAACAATCTAATTAGTCTAATTGCCTCCTACCATCTTTTGACCTTTCTATTCCCACAGATCCCCATTTATTATCTAAATAAAACAGCACAGTCATCCCAAACAAAAACCCACAGATAACCAGGAGAAGCCACAATTTTGAGAATCATGTTTGTTTGTAAAGCTATATTAAGATACCTCTCAGGCCAAGTGTAGTAGTGCACGCCTTTAATTCCAGCATTCTAGAGGCAGAGGTAGGTGGATCTCTGTAAGATCAAGGCCAGCCTGGTCTACATAATGAGTTCCAGGCCAGCTGGGGCTACAGAGAGACCCTGTCTCAAAAAGACCACTCCCCCCAAAAAATTAAAAACAAAGATACTTCCTTTTGCTGGGTGGGCATGGTACCACAGGTCTGTACTCCAGCATTGGGGAGGTGGAGGCAGGAGGATAAGAAGTTCAAGGTCATTCTTAGAAAGTTTGAAGCCAGCCTAAGATACTTGGGAATCTGTTTAAAGAAAATAAAAGGGTCTGGAGCGATGGCTCAGTGGTTTAGAGCACTGGCTGCAGAGGACCCAGGTTTGGTTCCCAACACCCACACAGTGACTAACAAATGTCCTTAACTCCAGTTCCAGGATATCTGACGCCCTCTTCTGGCCTCCATAGGCACTACATACATGTGGTGCACTTACATGCAAGCAAAAACACACACATAAAAATAATAAATAAGTTTTTAAAAATAAAAGAAAAAAGCTCCCTTCTTTTGAAACTCAAACCTTGGGGGCAGAACATAAGAGGTAAGGGAAAGATAAAGGATGATAAAGTAGCTCACAGCTGCTTCCTGGGGGGCGTGGGGGGAGGGCTCTGACTTTCACACCAATCCCCAGGACTAAAGTGACCAACAAGAGCTTGCTTGCAAGGGTCAGAGAACTTGCTCCCCGCCAGATGCATCCACTTGTTAAACTGGAGGTCTGCCTGCCTTTAGCTGCTTGACAAAGACTTAGGACAGTCAAATGCTCCTGGCCACACTGACATCCATGGTAGAGAGCTGGCTCCAGGGAGCCCTGCAGAATGCTCTCCCATGCCACTCGTTCTGCCTGCCTTGGTGTTTCCAGTCTCTGCTCTCTCGTTCCAGCCAGACTGCTCCCTGGAGAGAGAGCTTCAGAGAAACCAAAATAACTGGACTCCAGGGAGAGCCAGGTAGCAGAGAAGAAGGCTTAAATGAACTAACAAAGGATTTTTTTTCTAAAAATCACATTGTGATTGCAAAACCTTACTTAAAGCCAGTAGTGGTAGGGCTTCATTTGGAACAGAGATTATTAACCACAGCAATCCTGTATTGAGACCACTCAGTGAACATTGTGCTTGGCCTTTAAGTTCTTAAGTTAGTTTCCTACAATTCTTTTGTTTTCATGAGATAGGGTTTGATTATGTAGCCTTGGCTTTCCTGGACCTTGCTATGTAGACCAAAATGGGCTCTAATTTGTAGCTATCCCCTTGCCTCTGCTTCCCCAGTGCTGGGATTAAAGATGTGTACCGCCACGACTGGCCTAATTTCTTTCTTTGCACACATATGTGGGTGTTACCTGTGTGTGTGTGTGTGTGTGTATGTCTGTGTGTGTGGGTGCACATGCATTGGTCACATGCACAGAGGCCAGAAGAGACCGTTAGGTGTCCTGCTCTATCATTCTCTGCCTTAGTCCCTTGACACCAGGTCTCTCAGTGAACCTGGAGCTCACTGGCAGCCCAGCTGGCTGGCCAGGGAGCTCCTGGGATCCATTTGTCTCCTCTCCCCAACTCTGGGGTTACAGGCACATGCAAGCCACACCCCGTCTTTTTGCGAGTGGTGGGGACTGGAACTCAGGTCCTTGTGGTTGCTCTTACCCACTGAGCTATCTCTCTAGCTCCATTGCCCCTACTTCAGATATCCAAAAATCAAGTCTCCGTGTCTGTGGGTACAGCTCAGCAGCACAGCAGTCCATTAGCATGCTTGAAGCTCTGCAAACAAAGCAAAAAACTCACTGAGGGTCAAAAAAAAAGGGGCAATGCAAGGCATGGTGGTACAGGCCTGTAATCCCAGCATTTGGGAGGCAGAGTCTGAAGGATCAGGAGTTCAAGGGTTATCCTCAGCTACATAACAAGTTTGAGGCCAACCTTGGCAACATGAAACCCTATTTATTTATTTATTTTGGTTTTATGAGGCAGGGTCTCCCTGTTGCCCTAGATGGCCTGGAATTTGCTATGTAGACCAGGCTAGCCTGGATCTCATAGAGATCCACCTGCTTTTACCTCCTGAGTGCTGGGATTAAAGGTGTGCACCACCATGACCAGACCATCTTTTTTTTAAAATAGACTATCTCAAGAAAAATTTGATCAGTTTTGACTTCACACACACACACACACACACACACACACACACACACACACGTGCGCATGCATGGGCACACATGCTTGTCACACACACACACACACACACACACACACACACACACACGTGTGCATGCATGGGCACACATGCTTGCAATCCCAGCACACATGAGACAAGAAAATATAGAGTTCAAGGTTAGCATGGGCTATGAGTTCAAGGCCAACCTGGCCTACACAGTGATAATGAAACCTATCTCACAGGGAAAAAATAACTGCCAAAATATATTTCAAAGGAGCTGTACCACACAAGCAGTGTACAAGGGCTCTAATTCTTCTGCATCCTCAGCAACATTAGTGTGACTGTTTATGTTTTCACCATATTGATAGATGGACCATTTAATAATCTGAACACAAGTTGATAATCCTTGCTCAAGTCAACATCATTGGACCCTGCAAGATACTTATTTTATATTTCTTTTCTTTTTCTTCCTTTTGTTATAGTTATTTTTTAAATTTATGTGTGTGTCTGTGCATATTTGTGCAGGAGCCCAAGGAGGTCAGAAGTGGGGGTGCAGTTCCCCTGGAGCTGGAGTTATAGATGGTTGTTAGCTGCCTCGTAGGTGATGGGGACCAAACAAGGGTCCTCTGCTACAGCAGCCAGTGCTCTTAACTGCTGAGTCATCTCTCTAGCCCCCGACTCCCACTTTTCTTAATCAAGAAAATTATTTTATTTATTTTATGTGTATGTATGTTTGTGTGTGGCACCTGAGTTACCAGAGGACAACCTGAGGGACTTAGGTGGTTCTCTGCACCATGTGGGGCCTGCGATCAGGTTGTTAGGGTTGGCAGCAAGAGCCTTTTATCCACTGAACCATCTTACCAGCATCTACCCCCACCTCTACCCCCACCTCCACCCGGCCACGCCTCCTTTTTTTTAAGAGTCACTAGTCACTGTGGCCTAGATTGTCCTTGAATGCACTATGTAAGAGAGAATGACCTTGAACTTCGATCTCACAAGTGCTGAGATTACAGGTGTGTGCCTGGTTCTTATGGTCCTAGGGTTCAAACCCAGGGCCTTGTGCATGCTAGGCAAGCACATTACCAACTGACCTCCATCCCAAGGTCCTGATTTTATATTTCTAATATTATTTCTCCACTGACTGCTTGATACTCTTCATTAGCCCTTTCTCTCAGTAACTGCAATTGCATAGTTACCCTGGGTGTAGCTCCCACTGGAAAGGTAGGTTAGGTTTCCCTTTAGTCACCAATTTTCAGAGCATTGTTCTAATCCTCATACCTTTTGGCTTAGGTATGTCATTCTTGTTTTCTAAATCAGAGCTGACGGTGAAGTTCACAAAAGTGTGAAGGAGTTGCTCAAAGTCTCAATCCCAGCCAACAACCAAACATTCTGATGACTTCCTTCCCTCTAAAATAAGAGCTCTTGGGCTGGCAAGATGGAGTAGCAGGTAGAGGTGCTTGCTGCCAAACTTAATGACATGACTTTGATCCCTGGAACCCGCCTAAAAGTGGAAAGTGAGAACTGACTCCCAAAGTTGTCCTCTGAACTCCACACAAGTGCCATGGCATGTGCGATGTGCCACACCCCCACATACAAGTAAATAAATGCTCATTTAAATTTTTCTTTAAAAGAGGGTTGGACTGGGAGTGATAGCACCTGCTTTTGGTAGAGGTGCTTGCTGCCAAACTTAATGACATGACTTTGATCCCTGGAACCCACCTAAAAGTGGAAAGTGAGAGCTGACTCCCAAAGTTGTCCTCTGAACTCCACACAAGTGCCATGGCAAGTGCGATGTACCACACCCCCACATACAAGTAAATAAATGTTCATTTAAATTTTTCTTAAAAAGAGGGTTGGACTGGGAGTGATAGCACCTGCTTTTGATCCCAGCACTGCGGAGGCAGAGGCAGGAGGATCTCTCTGAGTTCAAGGCCAACCTGGTCTACATAGTGAGTTCCAGGTCTGCTGGGGCTACAGAGAGACCCTGTCTCAAACAAAAAAAAGTTCCTTTTAATTTGAACCAGGGATTCTCAGTAAGGCCATGGGAAAAGGGAACTGGGGAGAGGCTATGCTGGAACACCACCAGCAGGGGTGAGAACTGTCCATAACTCCAGTTCCAGGGGATCCAACAGCCTCTTCTGTGCTCCTTGAGCACTGCACGACATGGGTACGCTTACTTACATGCAGGCATAACATTCATACACATTAAAAAAAAAAAAAAGCATACCTCCTTTTGCAGGAAGGACGTGGTGCCATAGGTCCATACTCGGGTAAGTAATATCTCAATACAATTTTAAAAATCCAAATGAAGTACATAAAAAAATAATAAAAATAATAAAATATTTTAAAAAGAATGTCCCCTTCATTGTTGGCAAGGCCTTTACTATCTTCTGTCTCCCAGATGGTTGTGTTGCTCTTTCGCAGCAGCTACTGATACAAGGCAGAACTGAACATTGTACACAAACAACCTTTACTATGAATTTACCCTTTCATGACTTCTGGTTGCCTTTTTTCATTTATCAGAACTAATTAGGATAAAATATTTTAAAAAGAATGTCCCCTTCATTGTTGGCAAGGCCTTTACTATCTTCTGTCTCCCAGATGGTTGTGTTGCTCTTTCGCAGCAGCTACTGATACAAGGCAGAACTGAACATTGTACACAAACAACCTTTACTATGAATTTACCCTTTCATGACTTCTGGTTGCCTTTTTTCATTTATCAGAACTAATTAGGAATGACCTCCTAGGAACTTTTCTAAATAAGAACAGTGAGAGAAAAAAACAACCCAGGAATCTGAAAGGGGGATTAGGAGGAGTCAGACTTGAGGGAGCCGAATCCAGGATGAGCTACACTCAGCTGGACTGCTCTGGGGTCAGAGGGAGCACTTCCAACAGTCAAACTGAAGGCTGGAGAGACGGCTCTGTAGTTAAGAGCACTGACTGCTCTTGCACAGGACCCCGGGTTCTGTTCTCAGCACCCACATGGTGACAAATAACTGTCTGTAACTCCAGTTCCAGGGGATCCAACACCCTCTTCTGACCTCCACAGGCATTGCATGACGGGTGCACTTACACACATGCAGGCAAAACACACATACACATAAAATAAAAATAAAAACAAAACAAAGCAGTCAAATGCTGCTGTTTGTTGGTATCGAGTTGCTCTGTGAGGTTCACCACACCCCAGTGCCCATTCTACCCAGGATTCGGGCTGAACCATGGCTAAAGGTTTTGAATAGCTCCCCTGGGTGCAGACACAAACAGGATGGGATTCTAACTGGTGTGACTGGAGTACTGGTTTACTAGGGCTTTGCTGGAATGAAGTGTCTGACAGAACAGCTTAAGGGAGGGAGGATTTACTTTGGCTTGCAGTTTTGGAGGGTTCAGTCCATGGTCACTAGCTTCATGTTTCTGGGCTGTGGTAGGCAGAGCATCCTGGCAGTGAGTGTGTGTGTTAGTGTGTGTTAGGGTTAGCGTGTGTCTTCACAGCAGACAGCAGGCAGAGGAAAAGAATGCTGGTGACTGCTAGAGTTTTCCCTTTCCTCTTTTAACTATTCCATCTGAGTCTGAAGTCCACAGGATGGTCAGCGCCACCACCTTCAGGGGATCTTCTTCCTCAGCGAATCTCTAGAACTATGTTCACAGACAGCCAGAGGCAGGCCTCACCAATCCCTTAAGTGATTTTTTAATAACTTTTTTGTTTATGTATATTTTCATTTTATTTGTATGAATATTTTGCCTGCATGTATGTAAGTGCACTCATGCATGCAAAGCCCACAGAGGCCAAAAGAGGGAGTCAGATCTCCTGGAACTGGAGTTACAGATGGTTGTTAGCCGCCATGTGGGTGCTGGGAACTGAACCCAGGTCTTCTGCAATAGCACCACCTGGCCTAGTTCTCTCTTCTTTTGAAAAAATTTTTGGAATGGGGTGTGGTAGGAGACACACCTTCACGCCTTTACACCCAGCAGTTAGGAGGCAAAGACAGGCAGATCTCTGTGAGTTGGAGAGCAGCCTGGTCTACATAGCAGTTTCAGGCCAGGTGGGGCTACAGGCAGACCCTGTCTCAAAACACAAACAACCCCCCCCCAAAAAAAAACAAAAAGAAGAAAAAGAAAAAATTTTGGGGAGGTCTCATGCAGCCCAAATTGGCCTCTAACTTGATATGCAGCTAAGGATGACAGGTATTGAACTCTGATCCCCTTCCTCAACCCTTCAAGGACTAGGATTGCAGGCAAGTACCACAATACTCACCTTTTTGTTGCTGGTATGTTTGCATGTATTTGAGACAGACTCTTCATATGTAGCCCAGGGTAGCTTTGACGTTGGGAGAGATCATGTTATCTTGGTGGTTAATTTTCATTGTTAAATGACTGGATTTGGAATCATTTGGAACTGGGAAGGTAGCTCACTGGTAGATCTCATGTCTACCATGTAACAAGAGTCCTAATTCACTTTTCAGTGCCATTAAAAAAATATATCTTGGGCTGGACTTGGTGATACACGCCTTTAGTCCCAGCACTTGGGAGGCAGAGGCATGTGGATCTCTGTGAGTTCAAGGCCAGCCTTGTCTACATAGTGAATTCCAGGACAGGAATTCTGGGGCTACAGGGGGGCCCTGTCTCAAAAAAATTAAAAAAAAAAAAAAAAGAGAGAGAGACAGAGAGAAATAAGCTGAGTGTGGTGGCGCACACCTTTAGTACCAGCATTTGGGAGGCAGTGGCAGGTAGATCAAGGTCAACCTGATCTACATAGTGAGTATTCAGGCCAGCAGGGGCCATATGGAGACCCTGTCTCAAAAAGACCAAAGATGTAAGAGAGAGAGAGAGAGAGAGAGAGAGAGAGAGAGAGAGAGAGAGAGAGAAATAAATATATGGCTCAGCATGAGAAAGCCCCAGCCAAAGACTGAGGTCCTGGAGCAGGCAAAGTCCCTCATCAACAGAGGCTTCCAGGCAGCCAGGAAGAGACAGGAAGAGACTCCCTAAACTAGCAGGCAGTGGGGGAAGGCAAGGTGAAGGGCACTGAGCGACACAGGCAGAGAGCTGGGAGTTGGAGAAGCTGGGAGGGAGCAACAGGCATTCCAGAAGAGAGGCACAGGCTGAAGAGCCACAGGGAGGAAGGTGAGGCCCCAGTGCTGGGCCTCAGATGTAGCAAGGCCTGGGTTCAGGTACCTGACTATGGGGGGTAAGAGCAAAGCTGGTTCTGGGAGGAGTCTGAGCTCTGTGACCTTGGGCAAGTGACTTAACCTTTGAGCCTCAATTTCTTCATCCATTAAAGGGACATAGTAAGTGCTGGTGAGATGGCTCAGCAGGTTAAGGCACTTACCACCAACCCTGAGGACTGAGTTCCATCCCCAGAACCCACACAGTGGAAGGAGAGAGCTGAATACTGCAAGCTTTCCTCTGACCTACACATTCCTCCCTTACCACGAGTCTTAAAGGCAACACAGCTGCTCAACCATGGAGTGGCATCTGCAAATTTGAAACAGAAGGATTTGCAAGTATTTGTTTCCCATATTTTGTTAAAGTTAGGGGATACACACACACACACACACACACACACACACACACACACACCCCTATACACCAGCAAGATGGCTTGGGCATGGCAGGGCACACCTTTCATCCCAGCACTCAGGAGGCAGAAACAGGCAGGTTTCTTTGAGTTCCACCCTGGTCTAGTGAGTTCCAGGGCACTAGGGCTACATCATAATGACCCCATCTCAAAAAAAAAAAAAAAAAAAAAAAAAGGCATAAAAGTAAAAAAACTGAAATAAGAGCTTCTATATCAGAGTGTTTAAAAGTTTAATAATGCTGTGTGTGCATATGTGCTTGTGTTTGCATGCATGCATGTATTATGTATAGATTCCTAGCACTACTCCTTCCTGAAAAAAAAAAAGAAAAACAAAGGCTTTGAATCACGCTTGTTGTGGGGTTGAGGTTGCTTCTGCCTCATGAGTGCTGAGGTTACAGATGTATGCTACCACACCTCAACTCCTGAGCTGAAGCATCCCTCCTGCCTCAGCCTCCCAAGTAATTGGAACTAAAGACGCACACCAGGGACAGAGTTTGAAGCAGGTGTGTGTGTGTGTGTGTGTAGTGTTTTGCCTGCATGTATGTAAGTGTACCACATGTATGGAATGCCCATGGAGACAGAAGAACTAAAATGAACCCAGGTCCTCTGCAAGAGCAGCCAGTGCTCTTCACCGCTGAGCCATCTCTCCAGTTCCAAGGGATCCAAAGCTCTCTTTCTGGCCTCCATGGGCATTGCACACATGGGTGCACTTGCATACATGCAGGTAAAACACTCATATACATAAAATAAAAATAAATCATAAAGAAGACATTGGTGTCTTAGCTCTAGAACCTTGGGGATGAAGGAAAGAAAGACAGACTTACTGGAGCTGAATCAAAACAAGTATCTTTCAAAACACGGAACTAAGCACCGGCGGAAACCAGACATGAGCACTCTGCCCTCTTCAGTTGCTTCTTGTAGTTGCCTCTGAGGTCGGACCTGCTCCCTTGTGGGCAATTTCCAAGGCAGGAGACGGGACTATTGAACAGAGTTTGCACTCCTCAGTTCTAAGAGCAATCCTTTTCGTCACCCTGGCTCCCCTTCTAGGCTTCTCACTAGAACTGAGAACGAAATAAAGCTACACAAGGCAGGCACCAGGGTCACCACCAGGAGGGAGGAGAGCTGAAATCAAAAGAAGAGAAAGTCTTGGGGACTCCAGAACTGAGCAGCCTCAGGGGGATGCTCTTGGGGTTCTCTACGGGAATGGGACAGGAAAGGGGATGGGGGAGTGCAGTGAGGTTGAAGGGTTGAAGACCTATTTCTTTTTCTTTTTTCTTTTTCTTTCTTTTTTTCCTTCGGTCTTTTGAGACAGGGTCTCCCTGTAGCCCCAGCTGGCCTGGAACTCACTATGTAGACCAGGCTGGCCTTGAACTCACAGAGATCTGCCTGCCTCTGCCTCCTGAGTGCTGGAACTAAACGCATGCCCCACCACATTCAGCCTGAAGATCTATTTCTGAACATCACTGCTTTCTGCTTCCCACGTGGTCAGAAGGTTCTGGAACCAGGCTTGGGATCTGACTATCAGCCCCATCCTTTCCAGGCTGTTCCTTAACTTTGCTTACGGTTAGTTCATTTGGTCTCTCCATCCTGGTTTCCATTTGTTTCAAGAGTAACTACATTTTATAGGTCAAGTAAATCCCAGGTAAAAATTCCAGAGGAATAAAATTATAGGTCAAGTAAATTCTGGGTAAAGATCAGTTGTGTGTGGAGGGGAGAGGAGGAGGGAGGGTAGTCGCATATAGGGAAATGTGGTATGTGGGGGCAGATATCAGGAAAGTGGAATTACCCAAAAGAACCCAGAAAACAGACTTCAGACACCAGATCAGGAGAAATCAATTAACTGTCAATGAAAAGAACAATTTCAACTAAAAAAATTTTGACTTATTTTTATTTTATGTGTATGTGTCTTCTACCTGCATGTATGTAAGTACACTCATGTATGCAGTGCTTACAGAGGTCAAAAGAGGGCATTGGATCCCCTGGAACTGGAGTTACAGTGTTAACTGCCATGTGGGTGCTGGGAACTGAACCTGGGTCCTCTGTGAGAGTAACCAGTGCTCTTAACTGCTGAACCATCTCTCCAGCCCTATCAATTGAAATTTTTTTTTGTCCTTTTTTTTCAGTATTTTTGAGACAGGGTCTCCCTGTAGCCCCAGCTGTCCTGGAACTCACTATGTAGCTGGAACTCACAGAGATCCGTCTGCCTCCCAAGTGCTGGGATTAAAAGCATGCACCACTACGCCTGGCCAATTGAAAAAATTTAAAATATTTTATTTATTATTAATTTGTTTTGGTCTTTTAGAGACAGGGTCTCCTTGTAGCCCCAGCTGGCCTGGAACTCACTGTGTAGACCAGGCTAATCTTGAACTCACATAGATCTACCTGCCTCTGCTTCCAGAGCTCTGGGATTAAAGGTGTGTGCCACCATGCCCAGCTCTTATTATTTTTAATTTACATGTAAATTAATGCTTGGCCTGAAAGTATGTAAGTGTTCTACATGTGTACAGTGCCCATGGAGACCAGAAGATAGCACTGGATTCTCAGGAACCTGAGTTATGGGTGGTTGTTAGCCACCATATGGGTGCTGGGAACCAAACCCTGGTTCTCTGGAAGAGCAGCCAGTGCTCCAAACTGCTAAGCCATCTCTCCAGCATTGAAAAATGTTTAATTAAATCATATTTTAAATATTTTTGTTCTCTACTTCAGTTCAAGGACCTTTATATTATCATTTAAACAGAATAAGAGGGGCTGAGATGTGGCTCAGTGGAGGATACTGTGCTTAGCATATGTGAGGCCCTGAGTTCAACACCAGCACCACCCCAAAATAAACTCACAGATAAATGAATAGCTAAGTAGACAGACTGGCAGAAAATTAGACCAGACAAAGCCAGGTGTGGTGGTACACTCCTTTGATCCCACAGTCAGGAGGTTAAAGCAAGAGGCTCAGGAATTGAAGGCCAGCCTTGGCTACATAGCAAGTTTGAAGTCAGCTTGAGCTATATGAGTCTGTCTATAAACAAACAAACAAATAAATGGAGTGCACCTGGATCCTGCCCCCAGAGTTCTGCCTTACCTACAGTTTCATTTGCTGTGGTTTCTGGTCCATAAATAGTAAATGGAAAATTCTAGAAATAATGCAGAAGTTTTGAATTGGGCTTCATTTTGAACACATACTGAAATCTCCTTACACCATCTCACTTTGGATATGCAAGATCCTTCGGTCCAGTGTTCAGAGCTACATATCTACACTGTGTCCCACGCCTGCCTGTCAGTGACTTGTTTGTAGCTTGCTTGTTCTTGGGTAACCCTTATTTTCCCAACTTAAGGAAATAAGAAAAAAATGTTATGTTGAGGTTACTAAGACACAGAATAAGAATGAATCTCTCAGCTGGTGTGATGGTGCTCCTCTTTAATCCCAGCACTCCAGAGGCAGAGGCAGGCAGAGCTCTGAGCTCAAGGCCAGCCTGGGAAAAGAAGAATGAATCTCAATCCTCTCTCTCTCTCTCTCTCTCTTTCTCTCTCTCTCTGTCTCTCCCTTCCCCTGTATTAGAAATTGAACCCGGGGGTCTGGAGAGATGGCTCTTTGGTTAAGAGCACTGGCTGCTCTTGCAGAGGACCTGGGTTCGATTCCCAAGACCTACATGGCAACTAACAACCATCCATAATTCCAGCTCCATGGGATCAGATGCCCTCCTCTAGCCTCCATAGGCCTTATACCACATGCAGGTATAGTACTCATAGACATAAAATATAAATAAATAAAAATTTTAAAAATATTTTATTTTTTATTTATTTTATGTGTATGAGTGTTTGCCTGCATGTATGTATGTGCCCCCATGCTGTGCAATGCCCATGGAGGTCAGAAGAGGGTGTTGGATCCCCTGGAACTAGAGTTATGGACAGTTGTTAGCCACCATGTGCATGCTGAGAATGGAACCTGGGTCCTCTATACGAGCATCCAGTGCTCTTAACTGCTGAGCCATCTCTCTAGCCCCAATAAATAAAACTTTTTAAAAGAAAGAAGCCGGGCATGGTGGCACACTCCTGTAGTCCCAGAACTTGGGAGGCACAGGCAGGCGGATCTCTGTGGGTTCGAGGCCAGCCTGTTCTCTTGGTGAATCCAGGACATCTGGGGCTACAGGGAGACTGTCTCAAAAAGACCAAAAAAAGAAAAAAAAAAAAAAAAAACACCACAAAACACCCAGGGTCTCAGTCAAGCATGGTGGTACATGTTTTTAATCCAGGCTCATGGGAGGCAGAGGCAGGCAGACCTCTGTGAGATCTAGGCCAGTCTGGCCCACATAGTGAGTTCCAGAGCAACTGGGACTACAGGAAGATTCTGTCTCAAGAAAAAGAGAAAAGTATCTCATGTAGCTCAGGCTGGCCTTGAACCTCCCAAATTCTGGGAGTATAGGCATGCACCACCATACTCATAAAATGGGTATTTTGTAGAATTCCTAGCTTGGGCTTCCATAAAGAACACCATAACATACGTATCACTGATGGCCTAAACAAAAGAAATTTCTCCTGGTTCTGCATGCAGGAAGTCTGAAATCAAGGTACTAGAATGGTCAGCTTCTGAGGAGGGCAACTTCTCTATGAGGGAATCTCTGGAGTCTCTGTATAAGGGCACTTAATCCCGTTCTTGATGGCTCTACCCTCCTGACCTAATAACCCCCAAAGGTGCAAACTCCCAGTACCATCACATTGCATGTAAAGTTGTCAGTACTGTATATAAATAGCAGAGGAATACAAACATTACATCCAGAGCACTTATCAATAAAACCTTGTCTACCCCTATTCTGGCTTCAGCTGCAGTGGCTGCCACCTCCTCCCCATCCCCTCCTTCCTCTTCCTCCTCCTCCCCCTCCCCTTCTCCTTTCCTGTTCCTCCTCCCCCTCCCCCTCCCCCCTCCTCCTCTTCCCTTCCTCTAATTTACCACAGGAACTTTAGACATGCTATATGCCTCCTTCCAGAGACTGTCTCCCTCCCAAAAATATTTCCCTTATCACTTACTTTTTGCTTAATTACCACTTCCTTTGGGAAGTCAGCCATGGTCCGCTTAATCAGGCCAATCTCTCCTTTTGCTGTTTTTGTTTTAAAATGCTAGGGATTAAACTAAAGATCTAACACATTAGCCTGGGCAAGCCCTTCTACCACTGGGCTATATCCCCAATACTTTTTACTTGATTTCGAGATAGGAACTATATAGCCCAGGCTGGCCTAAAACTTGATATGTAACTGATGCTGGCCTTGAACTCCTGATTCTTCTGCCTCTACTTCCCAAGTGGTGGGACTACAGGTGTGTGACTCCATACCTGGCTTCCTATTTGTTCTTTAAGGCACTGTGCTACATAGCTTTAGTGTCAACTTGACACACCTGGGTTGAGGGACCCTCAACTGGGAAATTGCCTCCATTGGACTGGCCTGTGGCCATGTCTGAGGGGCGTCTTCTTGATTGTTGAGTGATGTGGGAGAGCCCAGACCACTGTGGGTGGTGCCTGTGTTGGATAAGAGAGCAGACTGAGCAGAGGCCAGGGGAGCAAGCCAGTAAGCAGCGATCCTCCATGGCCTGTGCTCCAGCTCCTGCCTCCAGGTTCCTGCCCTGAGTTCCTCCTACCTTGGGCTCCCTGATGAGCTGTGACCTGGGAGATGCAAGACAAATAAACCCTTTCCTCTCCAAGTTGGTATTGGTCAGAGTGTTTTGTCACAGCAATGGAGAAACAAAACTAGGACAGGCACTAAAAACCTCTTCCATTTTCCACTAGACTGATTCCACAATAACCTGTATGACCTTTTGACTGATACCTCTCTACTGTAGCTTAGCCTAAGACAGTGGGCTGAGGCTCTCTTCTAATTCACCATTTTCTCTCTCTTTTTTTAAAATATTTTATTTATTATTTTTATTTTATGTGTATGTGTGTCTTGCCTGCATGTAGGTAAGTGCACCTGTGTTGTGCAATGCCCCCGGAGGTCAGAAGAGGCTGTCAGATTCCCTGGGACTGGAGTTATGAACCGTTGTTAGCTGCCTTGTGGGTGCTGGGATTCGAACCAGGGTCTTCTGCAAGAACAACCAGTGTTCTCTACTGCTAAGCCATCTCTCCAGCCCCTCCATTTTCTCCTTCAAATGCATCTCAGGGTTTGGGAAATATAATGTACTAACAAATACTTCTTAAATTAATGATTGTTAACTCTGGAACATAGTCCAGAAAACAGTGCTTAAAGATGTCATGTAAAAACACAGCATGGGGGCTGGAGAGATGGCTCAGTTGTTAAGAGCATGGCTGCTCTTAAAGTGAACCTAGATCAGTTCCAAGCACCCACCTGGTAGCTAACAACCATCTGTAACTCCAGTTCCAGGGGATCTAATGCCCTCTTCTGACCTTGGCAGGCACTGCATGTACATGGTCCACTTATACTTGTGCAAGCAATACACTCATATACATAAAATGTAAATAATAGGGTTGGAGAGATGGTTCAGCAGTTAAGAGCACTGGCTGCTTTTGGAGATGACCCAGGTTCAGTTCCTAGCACCCACATGGCAGCTAACAACCATCTGTAACCCCAGCTACAGGGGATCTGATGCCCTCTTCTGGCCTCTGTAAGCATTGCACATGCATGGTGCACTTACATGCATATAGGCAAAACACTCATACATACAAACTAAATTAAATAAATCAAAATATGTATAAATGCATTTTTTTTTTGCCTTTTTGAGACAGAGTCTCCCTGTAGCCCCAGCTGTCCTGGAACTCACTATGTAGACCAGGCTGGCCTCGAACTCACAGAGATCCACCTGCCTCTGCCTCCCAAGTGCTGGAATTAAAGGCGTGCGCCACCACGCCTGGCTTTATAAATGCATTTTAAAAAAATTAAAAACTACATGCTACAACACAGATGAACCTTGGAGCATTATACTACATGAAATAAGGCAATCAGAAAAAGATAAGGATCCCACATATATGAGGAACTTTATTAACAGAACAGTGATTGTTTACAGCTGTAGAGGGGAGGGAGGGAGACTAATGGTTTAATGCACATAAGAGTTTAATTTCACAAGATGCAAAGTAGGTAGATAGATGGCCATGAAGGGTGCACGGATTTTTTTTTTTTTCTGTGGTGTTGGGGGTTGAACTGAGGGTATCATGAATGTTAGACAAATTCTCTGCCATTGAGCTACACCCTGAGCCTTGAATGTGTTTAAAACACTGCAGTCTACACTCACAAATGGTTACAAATGGGAAGAAAAGTTATGGAAAGATGGAAACTAGAATTCCCATTCCCTGAGTGGAGGAAAATTAAAGTGCTGTCATTGTTCAATATTCATTACACTCCACGCAATTGAATGGAAATCCAGTAAGAAGTCAATTATCTAAAATTAAGATTTTAAACCGTGCTCAGTTCAGCAGCACACATACTAAAATTGAAACAATACAGAGATTAGCATGGTCCCTACGCAAGGATGACATCCAAATTCGTGAAGTGTTCCATATTGTTTGGGATGTTCTGTATGAAATACACACAAAAATCATTAATTAAAAATGAATGAGTTATATTTGAGGAAGAAGAAAAAAATTTTAAATAGAAAGATGCCACTGAGAAGTAAACAGCAAAATCAACACTTGAGAAACTCAGTAAGGCAACTTACCAGTTTTTTCAACAAATACATTGCAAAAAATTTTTCTGTCAAGCTGGTTCAAAGATTAAGACCACTGGCTGCTATTGCAGAGGACCTGGGTTCAGTTCCCAGCACCCACTTGGTGGCTAATAACCATCTTAACTCTGTTCCAGGGGCTCCAACATCCTCTTCTGGCCTCCATGGGCATTGCACACACATGGTACACTTACATGCAGTCAAAACACTTTGTACACATAAAATAAAAATGAATATGAATAAATAAAAATGAAGAAGGAAAAAGATTGGGGGCTGGCTGAGGTGGCACATGCCTTTAATCCCAGTGCTCTGAGGGCAGAGGCAGGTGGATCTCTGAGTTTGAGGCCAGCCTGGTCTACATAGTGAGTTCCAGGGTTACAAAGTGAGACCCTGTCTCAAAAGAAAGAATAAAAAGCCCCCAAACCAGCCAGTTGTGGTGGTACATGCTTTTAATTCCAGCATTCAGGTGGCAGGCAGATCTCTGTGAGTTCAAGACCAGCCTGGTAGCAAGTTTCAGGTCAGCTTGGGGCTACAGGGAGATCCTGTCTCAAAAGAGAAAAAACAACAAAACAGTCCCAAACTCCAAAGTAGTAAAAATTATTGATATGTTACATTTTTCAAGCTGTCTTTAAAACCCAGCTTTTTTTTCTTTTTTATGTTTACATCACATCTCAATTGAGACGGAGTGGCCACAGGTGCTTAGTGATTATTTATGAGACAATGCAGCTGTGGAGCAATCCCCAGCCTAATTTCTGCCCTGCTCTGAGTCCTCAGAGACTGACTCTAGGTTTGATTACATCACCTAACTCTCCTGCCCTCAGACTTCTAGCTGGTATAGAGCAAACTAGTCATCTTGAAGCCATGGAACTAGGACAGCTGGCAGTGTGGTTCAGTGGTAAAGCCCTTGCCCTGCATTGGATGGCTAACAGTGCAGAAAGAGAATGTGGTCCAGTTACTTTACCCTTCACCTCTAAACCTGGGTTGCCACAGGGCTTCCACCTAAAGGCCTAAGAGCCTGACTTCCATAGCCAGGGCACCTGGTTTGTTTGGGCAACCCTGCTGCCTTCTTTGCTCCATGGGGCCTGAGAGCTGCCTCTGGGAGTGCCCTTAGCTCCCTTGACGCTGCCCAGTACTTTTGTAAATAACTCCCTCTGTGGTTAACCTTTGTAGCACACTTTGACTGAATCAAGTAGTTTATGAAGTTCTGTTATGGTTCAGGTTTCATGCTCTTATTAGATTTTGCTATACAGATGCCTGAAGTCAATCACAATATTTTTGTTTTATGTGCATCAGTGTTTTGCCTGCATGTATGTAAGTGCACCTGTGTCATGCAATGATAATGGAGATCAGAAGAGGGCATCAGTTCCCCTGAACTGGAGTTATGATGGTTGTTGGGCACCATGTGGGTGCTGGGAATTGAATCCCAGTCCTTTGCAAGAGCAGCCAGTGCTCTTAACCACTGAACCATCACTCCAGCTCCAAAAAGATTTTTTTTACATGTGCATGTGTGTTTCTCTATGTGTGTGCATGTGCACATGTGAGTGCAGTGCCTGTGGAGGATCCTGTTGGATCCCCTGTTCCTGGAGTTACAATTGTAAGCTGCCTGAAATGGTTGCTAGGAACTGTACCCAGGTCCTCTGGAAGAGCAAAGTGCTCTTAACTACTGAGCCACCCCTCCATCCCTAAAACATTAAATCTTACACATAACTATTAGTGCCTATTGATGAGTAACTTTATTCTTAGTAGTTTTTATTTTGGCAGTACTGGGAATGGAACCCAGGGCCCTACACATGCTAGACAATACCCCTTCTACTAAATTATATTCCCGGCCCTTATTTATTTTAGGGGGAAAAGGATTGAAATAGGGTCAAGGTAGAGCTGAGCATGGTGACTCAAGCCTGTAATCCCACAACTGGAGAAGCTGAGGCTGGAGGATCTTGCTTTGAACTCTAGCCTGGACTACAGCCAGGCGTATCCAACCTACCCTAAGGGCTGCATGGGTCCCAGAACAGCTATGAATGTAGATCAATAGCTTTGTAGATGGCAATGCCATAGCACAGTGTCAAAATGTTGGACAACCTGGTACATAGTGAGTTCTAGGCTAGGCTGGGCTTCAGAGTGAGACCCTGTCCAAAAATAAACAGCACTAGAGAGAAGGCTCAGAGGTTCAGGGTCCCCTTGCAGCCCCAGCTGGCCTGGAACTCACTATGTAGACCAGGCTGGCCTTGAACTCACAGAGATCCACCTGCCTCTGCCTCCCAAGTGCTGGGATTACAGGCCTGTGCCACCACATCTGGCTTATGAGAAAAGCATATTTTAAAGAATCAACATTTGGACCTGGAATATGGTTCAGTGGGTTAAAATGCGTGCTGTGTGAGGCTGGGGATATGGCTCAGGGGTAGACTGTTTGCCTAGCATGTATGAGGCCCTAGGTTTGATCCCCAGCTTGGAAAAAGCAAAAAACATTTGCTACAAAAACCTGATGACCTGGGACCCAAATAAGGGTGGAAAGAGAGCAACTAACTCCACAGAGTTGTTTATCTGACCTCCACACACACAGATACCCCTACCTGATAGCAATAAATATTTTTTTAAAAGTCAACTTTTAGCTGGGTGTGGTAGTACACACCTTTAATCCCAGCACTTGGGAGGCAGAGGCAAGCTGATTTCTGTGAGATAGAGGCCATCCTGGTCTACATAGGGAGTTCCAGGCCAGCTGGGGCTACAGGGTGACCCTGTCTCAAAAAGACCAAAAACAAAAAAAGTCAACTTTTGTTTTGAGCAGAATGTGTCAAGTCATTTAAGAATTGTCAGTTCGTTCTCTCTCTCTCCCTCCCTCCCTCTCTTCTTCCTCCCTTTCTTTCTGAGACAGGGTCTCTCTATGTAGCCCTGTCAGTAGTCTTCAAATTCACAGAGATCCACCTGCCTCTGCCTCTCAAGTGCTGGGATTACAGGTGTGTGCCACCACACCTGGCTCTTTTCTTTAAGACAGGGCCTCCTGTAGCTGTGTACAGTCAGCTCACATTCCTGACCCTCCAGCTTCTTTCCACCTGGTAAATGCTGGGATTACAGGCCTGGCCACCTTGGTCAGTCTAGATCCCTTTATGTAGTGCTAGACAGCCACTTCCTGGGTCAAGCTCTGACTACAACAGACAAATCTGATGTTCCTGTGTGATAGCACTGGAGGCTGGTGCTATCCCAGTATACAGAGAGGTGAAAACTGGGAAACACATCAACCATCTCTAACAGTGGGCACTGCTGTCCAAACTCAAGCCTGATTTCAGAGCCTTTGTTCAGACAGAAACTAAATTCAAAACAGGAGGGGTGAGGAGAGAAAAGCAAACAGAGAAAAGGAACAAATCAGCCCAAATATGGTATGGATAATTCAGAAAAAAAAATCTAGGGAAGGAAATTCAATTGAAAGGTTAGAAACCCTTTTCACCCCAGATAAAAAGGCCAGAACACAGACTGGTTTAGTAACTGTCAGTTGCAGGGCACACACTGCCCTCCTTGAGGCATGAAACCCTTCACCTTATAGATGGAAAAACGGGCTTACAGCTATAATGATGAAAAATTGGTTGGTTTTTTTCTTGGAGACAAAGTTTTGCAACAAATCAGATTAGACAGAGTAGGTAGGCTAGGAGAAATAACTAAATTTTTGCAATCCTAGACAGAGCCGGTTTAGACCAGGGACAGGAGACATACTTCATAGCTGAAATGTTCAGGACAGGGAGATGGCTGATTTCCTAACACAACCCAGTGTTTCTCCTTCAACACCCAACTTGGGGCTGTGCCTAGAGGCCCAGGAATGTGCAGGTTGGGCAAAGCTGCCTGTTACAAAGGCTTCAAGGTGCCCTTCTTTGTATCTGCATGGGGGGTGGTGGTTTGCAGGGCCTGAATAAAGTTCCCTTTCCTGGGGTTCAGGGGAATCCTAGTGATCTCTTTAACCATGTCTCCCGCGCCTAGTGCGCGGTTAGGGCGGGAGGCGGGAAAACAGGAGTTGTGCAAACTTTGCAGGGCCTGGCTTGGCACAGCCTGAGGTCCCCAGGAAGGGTCGTCCCCAGCTCGGTGACCTTGGAGCAAAGTCTCAAGCACGCCGGGAAACGGCGAAGCAAAGGAGTGGCAACCCCGGCCGCTCCCAAGGCGGAAATCAAATATCCGCGCGGGAACCTGTCCCCACAGCCCGCGGCATTGGGGAGTCATGGCGACGCGGGGGAGGGCGGTTTACGGAGCCTAGGCCGAGGGGAGTGAGCGAGGCCTGCGCATCCGGTGGGGGTCGCCGCCGCGAGAACACCTCCGGCAGACGCGGCCGCGGCGCGCGCTCGTGCGTCTCCACCCACCTGACGGAACAGCCGGCGCGCGCAACCAGCAACCGCGCTTTCTCGCAGCGTTTGTAGCCACTACGTCACCGCCTCCGCCGCATCTCATTGGACAAGCCCGCCAGATCACGTGGGGACAGGGTTGGCATATAAATAGGGGCGTGGGGACGGCGATTGTCCGCCATTTCGTGGACGCCCGGGAAGAGGCAGCTTCTGCGGGGAGCTGAACCGGAGGGGAGCGGGTGGGCCTGTCGGAGCGCGTGGATTGGAGCCTCGGCGTTTCGAACTCAGGATCTCGGTAAGAGAGCGGAGGGACGGAAATGAAGCGTTTTGTCAGGGTCGAGGTGGGGCCTCGGCGCCATGGCGGCGCCAGATTGAGACAAAGGGGCGCCGCCGCCATTTTGTGACGTTCGGCCCCGGGCGGCTGCGGAGACTCCAGGCCCGGCCGACGAGGCTTCCAGGCCTCGGGAGTAGAGAAGTTGGGCTCTTCCCTGCGGGAGGGGAGCCGTGGCGATCGATTGCTCGGGGCGCGGACGTGGGATCCCCGACCGAGCTCTCCGCGTCGCGGCCTTTGCGTTCGATGGCGCCTTTTTCCTTTCTGGTTCCTTTTTCTCGAGAGGTGGTTTTTTTTTCTTCTTGAAGGCGACCATCAGGACCAGGCTTTTCGGTCCGTCCTGAGGCACGGCCGCTCTTCTCACATGTGTTTCTGTGCTGATTGGATTTTGGCTTGCCATAAGCTGAATCAAAGTTTTTTTTTTAATTCAATGTAAATAGACATTTTTCTCAAAGTTGAGTAATGTGCGTAGTTAACAGGTGTGAAAATCGGCCACGGATGAGCTGCTTTAGAGAAAATGAAAATTGTTTTTCCGAATGGCTAGCCGTCAGAACTGAGTTCTGGGTACAGGGTGGGGTCACTGCAAATGGGATGTGCCTGGACTAGGTTTTTTTTTTTTTAAAGTTTAGATAATGGTCGGGTTAGAAGAGCATGGCGTATTGGGGAGATGCTGAAAAGATGCGTTATTGAGTCGGTTGCTTTTATTCCCTTCGGAGTGACTTTTAAGTGAAGTTTATTAGCTGTCCCTAAGGTGCGGTGTGTTGTATACCAAGCCTTTTGGGTACCTTTTGGGGGGGTAGAATGAAAGGATTTGGTGTTTGTGATGCTGGGGGTTGACCACAGGACTTGTGTGTGCTAAGTAAGCACTGTACTGTGCACTGGGCTCCAGATTTCTTGTTTTGGGGGAATGTACCTTTTTGAAAGTGATGGAGTCCATGTTTCCCAGGCTGACCTCACACTCAGTCCTCTCTGGTCTCTAGCAGCATACTGGGTCACAGGTGTGCATCACCACGCCTGGCTTCGGTAGTATTTTATTACACATCGTGATGTTATGGATGGAGCCTTTAGTTGGTTTCAGCATATTGTTTTTTGAGGCAGTGCATTGTGTAGCCCAGGCTAGCCTTCTTAGGCTCCTGATCTTCCACATCGAAGTGGTGGGATTGCAGGTGCTCTATTACACTTGCTTCCACAACCTAATGTCCTTAAACCCAAGATCATTCTTTGTTATGGTTTATTTTGAGACAGGGTTTCCTTGTAGCCCAGCTGGCCTGGTCTACGTCTCTGGGAGATCTGTCTGCCTCTGCTTCCCAGTGCTGGGATTAAAGGTCTGCTGCATTAACATTAAGCCTGGCTGTTCAATAATTATTCTTTACAAATTCTGACCACCATTTCCTGGCAGCCACTAACCTGCATGGATTTTCCCCTTTAGGGCATTTCACATGCAGAGAATCATGTGTGTGCTTTCTTTTTTGATTTTTTTACTTAGAATATCTTCAAGGTTCTAGCTAATCCGTATATCCATTTCCTGGCGGACTTCTGGGTTGATAACCTTTTTGCTATTGTGAACAGTGCTATAATGAGATCTTTGTTCTTCTGTTTTGTTTTGGGTGGGTAGTTCTGGAGATCAAGGGCTTCATGCATGCAAGATACTCTACATACCACTGAGCTACATCCTTGCTCCTGAGTACATTTTAAAAAATTCATCTTTTTGCTGCTTGAATTAAGTCTTGGTGAGAAGGCTTCAGTCTGTTGAGGTGGCATTAGCATTGTTCCTGTAGTTAAGGTAGTCTGTGGCATTAAGAATTTCGTTTGTGGCAGGATTTTAATTGTATGGCCCTGCCTGGCTTCAAACTTTTTTTTTTGTCATTTTGAGACTGGGTCTCTCTGAATCCCCAGCTTTCCCAGAACTCACTGTGTAGATCAGGCTGGCCTCAAACTCAGAGATCCATGTGCCTCTGCCTGAGGGCTGAGGTTAAAGGCACACTGGGTCCCCAGTGAAGCTTTAAAAAAAAAAAAACTTGGGTGTGCTTATATGTAGGCACATGCATGCCAGTGCTGTACCCCAGTGTTCTGCAAGGGCAACTTGGAGGAGTCAGTTTTCACCTGTGGGTCTGGTCAACTATTGTGTGATGTTGGGAGGGAGTCCAATGTAAAATGGGCAGAGTTGATTGCCTTCTCTTTTAGAGGGCAGAAACTCAAATTCCATCTTTTCTGTTCTTGCTTTTGTTTTTGAGATAGGGTCTCCCTGTCACAACACACTAAGTAGATAAGACTGGCCTGGATCTCAGAGAGATCTACCTGCCTCTCTGCCTCTTGATGGTCTAAGACAGTTTTAAATTTTCTTGTATCTGAATGAAGCTGGTACCGAATTCTGCGTTACACCTGTCTCCCAAGTGCTGGGACTACAGGTGTGTGCACTGCCACCCTGAAGTTAAGCTGGGGAGTCAAGCCTCATCCACTCTATATTCTGTGTACTAAATCCAGGGTTGGTTGAGCCTGGCACAAGGAGCATCAGGAACTCAAGGCCAGTTTTGAGAATAGTCTTTAACTTGAAGTTATTCTTGGTTCATATTGTGGTAATCGGTCCTTCAGTGTTTCTTGCATTTCAAATTTGATGGTTTCCTGGGGTTTATGAGTAAAGGGGGTATCTTCAAGAGTAACACTTCTGGTTTGTTTTTTGTTTGTTTGTTTTGGCTTTTTTAGGTCTTTTGTTCCTTTTAGGAGACAGGGTCTTACATGCTAGGCCTGAACTTAGAACCTTTTGCATCCTAGGCAAACAATGCCACTGGGATCTGTACTTCAGCTTGGATATGGTTTTAACTGTAGAATACTTGGATGAGTTAATGTCATTGGTATTTTTTGTTACAGAAATGCATCGTGATTCGTGTCCCTTGGACTGTAAGGTTTATGTAGGTAATCTTGGAAACAATGGCAACAAGACTGAACTGGAGCGGGCTTTTGGCTATTACGGACCACTCCGAAGCGTGTGGGTTGCTAGAAACCCTCCCGGCTTTGCTTTTGTTGAATTCGAAGATCCTCGAGATGCAGCTGATGCTGTCCGAGAGCTAGATGGAAGGTAATTTTGTGGTTACTATCCAAGATTTCTATTTGAATATTACATTTTTAATGTTTGCATTTTCTTTTTAATGTAGCCATGAACTGATCATTGCTCCTACAGTTTTTTTCTGATTTATTTTCTGTTTGAGACAGGGTCTCCCTGTAGCTCCAGCTGGCTTGGAACTTACTATATAGACCAGGCTCACTGGATCTCACAAAGAGCTGCCTACCTCTGCCTCCTGAATGCTGGGATTAAAGGGTGTCACCATACCTGGCTTGTTTATTTTTTGTTCACTTTTGAGACATGGTCTCCCTGTAACACCAGCAGGCCTGGAACTTACTATGTAGATCAGGCTGGCCTTGAACTCAGATCTGTCTGCACTCCCTGAGTGCTGGGATTAAAGGCATGTACTGCCACTCCTGGCTTGTTTATTTTTTTTTTTAATTGTGTTTTTCCTGCATGCATTTAAGTGTACCACAGAAGTACACTTAAATGTACAGAGGCCAGAAGGGGGTGAGGATCAGACTGTTAGCTGCCATGTGGGTGTTGGGAATCAAACCCAGGTCCTCTGCAGGAGCAGCCTGTGCTCTTAAGTGCTAAGCCATCTCTAGCCACTGATAATTGCTTATTTATATCAGAAGTGTGATATAAGGCACTGCTTTCCTTTGTATTTATTTTGTCCTAGTAGCTGTCTAAGTAACACTATAAAGTAGCAGGTATTGGGACTGGAGAGATGGTCACTGGTTAAGGCCTCATACTGTTCTCCTAGAGGAGGGAAGCTTAATTTCCAGCATTCCAGATGAGGCTGGAAATGGCTCCCTCTTGGCTTCTGTAGGCACCTCAAGTGCATGTACACATAAATTTTTTTTAAAATTTATTTTTTGGTCTTTTTGAGACAGGGTCTCCCTGTAGCCCCAGCTGTCCTGGAACTATGTAGACCAGGCTGACCTTGAACACACAGAGATTCACCTGCCTCTGCCTCTTGAGTGCTGGGATTAAAGGCGTGCGCCACCACGCCCAGCATAAATAAGTTTTTAAAAGATGTTAAGTCACAGGTATTGATATTGTTCCATCTCTGGCATTTGAAAATTGTTGAGTTTGTGAAACCAGGGAAAACTTGATCTTAAAGACTTGGAAACAGAATTGTGCTCCAGCATTTTTATTTTGAGCCAGACAGGATGACCACGTGTAAGCCCAGCACCTTTGAGGAGGCCAGAGGATCAGAAGTTGAAGGGCATCCTTACCTGTGTAGCAAATTGAAGACAAAAGAAATTTCTGTCTTGTGACAGTCACAGTGCCTTATAATAGAAAGAAAAAGGAACTGAGGGTAGCTCTGAAGCTGTATGGAAGGGCATTCGTTCCAACAGTAGTGAGGCTTTCTAGGCCCATTTCTCAGTGTAATAGCTGTGGATGGATGAAAGGAAGGTACAAACAGTCATCTTGTCAGATGAAATTTCTCCTGTACCAACTATAAAGATACAGAAAGGAGAGTAAGGGAAAAAAGCCAAAATAGCCTGATTTAGAGCAGGATATAGGAGAGGAGGGAATAGGTCACAGTGGAAATAACAGGAGAAATAGTTCTTCACGGGTCAATCCAGGTTCTTCACACTTGAATTATAGCCTCCAGCACATTCATATTGAGCCCTGTAATTTGAGAAGATGTGTGGAGGGGTGTCAACTCCTGGACCACTATTCCTGTGAGCCATTTTGTGTATTGGAAAAAAACAAAACTAAAACTCCTGGTATTGAAAGGTGTACAGGCAGGCAAATGATTTTTTTTTTTTTTTTTTTTTTTTTTTTTTGCAAAATAGCAAGCTAGTAGTTTTTCCTTTAATGAAAATTTCTGAAACAGGCTGTTTTAAATTCAATGTCTCCTCAGAACCCTATGTGGCTGCCGTGTAAGAGTGGAATTGTCGAATGGTGAAAAAAGAAGTCGAAATCGAGGTCCACCTCCCTCTTGGGGCCGTCGTCCTCGAGATGATTATCGTAGGAGGAGTCCTCCGCCTCGCCGCAGGTACTTGAGAGACAGCACGTTTTAAAGGCATTGGTGTAACGGAGTAGCTAGTAGGAGCAGGTATTTCTTGTAAAGTTTGTTGGTGGGCTGTAACGTTACTGTGAAGATCGGAGGTTTCTACAAAGCATTGCTGGGTGTAGTTGGGGGTATGTGAGTTGTGTTGAGTGTTGGCTTTGTCTGTAGGTACTGTTCATGTTGGTAGTCAGAACTTCTATCTTGGATCTGTCTTCTAGTTCATCTTCTAGTTGCATCTTTCCAAGTCTTCCCTTTTCAGTTCAGGCCTTTTTCCATTTCTTGACTCCATAATGACAAACATTACATTCAACTAGCTCTTCACCAAAAATGTGTTTTCTACTAGCACAATTGTAATATTTATCAAACAGGCAGCTGTTTTAATGTTACAACTGGTAAAGTAGAAAGCTTTCAGAAACGAACTTAGGTCACTGACAATAAAGGGGGCTTAAAAAGTATTCCCAATCATCCGTTCTTGAATCCCAAATAGGAGAGAATTCAGTTTTTTTATCATTGAAAATGGCATCGTTCTTGGACCAGGCAGTACTTCCTGGATGCCAGCTCCTCATCTCCTCAAGCCTCAAATAGTTTCTGTAGGACTGAATTTACCTCTTACAGGTGAGTGAGGTCCTAGGAGATGGGAGTTCAAAATCTTGCCCCTTTTGCTGTTTTGAAAAACAACACACTGTTGTCCATCATAATAAAGAGTATTTGTTAGCTAATAGATGGTTGTACTGATGGCTTGTTTTTCATTTTTTTTTTTGTGCTTTTTGGTCCATCTATTAATAAAAATGAACCCCGTTACAGAGTCACCATCATGTCTCTTCTCACCACCCTCTGAATCTGCATTAGCCAGTCAACTAGCCCTTTCAGCGTCATGTGACCAGCGCGCCCCATTCAGCTTGGCTGGTGTCGTTTCACATGACCCAGGCTGGCCAGTCGTCAGGTTGCACCGCCCTTTGGTTCCCGAGCATGCTGTTTTCTCTCAGCCTTCTCTCCAACCTTAACCAAATCGGCTGCAGCCACCTCGACCGCCCACACATTCCTGGCCAATCAGCTCAGCTGTTTATTTACCAAATGTCTTCACAACAACTACAGCAGCAGCCTTCGGCTAACAAAAAAGCAGGAAAAATCCACAACACCCCCTTCGCCAACCAACTAAATCCAACGCAACATCTGGCAAAACCTTTTCAGCAAATTCTTCCTGGCCGTCAGTCCGGCAGCCTCACCTCACCATTTCTAGCTTGTTGAAACCCAAAACTAGTAAGTTTTTCCTGCTTATACAGTTTACTGCTGGTTAAAAATAAGGAGTAAGCGGCTTAAAGTAATTCTTTTTTCTGGATCAAAGGCTGGCTGTGCATAATTGAATGGTAACGTACATATATATTGCTTGAAAAAACTTTTAAGGGTGATAGGGAACTCATAATGTAACTAGACCTTCAAGTGGAACTTATTTGCATGTGTGAGATGCCAAACTAAAATTTTAATATCTCTAACAGATTTTAGCTTTTCTTCCTAGCGAAAATTTGTTGAATCCTATCACCTTTAAATGGTTTACTAACAGTTTTCAAAATTTAAAAATGTTGGGGGTGAAGTGTGGGCCAAGCTAAGGTAATTTTGATAAGCCTAAACACACTTAAATGTGACAGTCACAGATGCAGTTCTAATGTAGCACTAAATGGCATCGATGTTACACCTACCGCGTTCACAAAGTTACACTATCCACCTGGTACTTAAGTCTCCTTACAGACTTAACGGTTTGCATGGGTTCCAAATACTGGTTTATGGTGCTGTTTTTGGAACTACTTTGGGACTACATTTTGGTGTGGTGTTTGGGTAGTGGAGTTAGTTTGACATGGAGTTTGCATTGGACAGATCTGCTGTGAAGCATTGTTAATAGAAACCATGGTTGGAATATCTGCTTTTCACTTGCTTTTTGTTCCTTAATCCTTCTGTGCCTTTTTTTTCTTTTCTTTTTTTATTTTTGGACGATGGGTGCCAATTCTTCGGCACATTCACTGGGCCCAACAGTGAGATTGAAAAGTTGGGAAATGCCTCACGCCATAAATACTGATTGACCATTAGCCTAATTTTGCTGTTTCTGCTTTTAGATCTCCAAGAAGGAGAAGCTTCTCTCGAAGCCGGAGCAGGTAAATCTTTTTTTTGTGTCAGTCTCAGAAATGGCAGTTTCAGCTTCTGATACTTGTAAGCTGTTTCTCAAGTTACTTGGTAAATGAGATTTAGACCCTGACCACTTAGGATCAAATGGTATATAAAGTCAGTGCCCCAAGTTCTAGAGTGAGCCAGCTTTGTGGTCCGGTCCCCCCCCCCTTTTTTTTTTTTTTGAGACAGGGTCTCCCTGAAGCCCCAGCTGGCTTGGAAATCACTATGTAGATCAGACTGGCCTGGATCTCACAGAGATCCACCTGAAAACTTCGAAAAATATTCCTATAAGACCTGTTTCCAACACCACTGACTGACATACTTTGTTTGGTTTAGGTCACTTTCTAGAGATAGGAGAAGAGAAAGATCACTGTCTCGGGAGAGAAATCACAAGCCGTCTCGATCCTTCTCTAGGTCTCGAAGGTAGGATCGCTTAATGACAAGCTATTTGAGATATATATATATAATATGTTGATTTGTTTGTACCAAAGACAATAACTTTTAAAATTGTTTGTTTAGCCGATCTAGGTCAAACGAAAGAAAATAGAAGGCCAGTTTGCAAGAGAAGTGGTGTGCGGGAAGGACTTCATTTTGACAGGAGTGTGCACGGGATTCAAGTTTTGTTGGAGGCTTCATAAGCTTGGTGCATTTTTAAGATGTTTTAGCTGTTCAAATTTGTTTGTCTCTTGGAACAGTGACACTCATAACAATGTAATTCTCCATGGTTTCAAATGGATCATAGGAGGCATGTAATACCAAGAATTGTTACTTTACAATGTTCCCTTAAGCAAGATTGAATTTGCTTTGAACTTTAGTTTTTCATAGACTGAAATAAACTGAAATCTTACCCAGCTAAAGTGTAATGTGATGTTATAGAAACAACCGGCAGAAATTGAATAAAGATAATAGTTTTTTCATAGCTGGGATGCAATGTACAGCTGCAGGTGAATGATAAGTAGTCTTTAAAAGCTGCTGAGTACAAGCCAGCAGGTAAAAATAGGAGTTGTGCACCAATAAACTAGAGGTTTTGGGAAATCTGACTGGTTCTCACCCTGGGCGGAGGTTGCCTGATTGGTGTAGAAATCTAAATTTACCATTGCTTAGGTCATAAGTTGCTTAACATGATTTCAATACATGAATACATAGCTATTTGGAACTTTGAGATTTCAAAATACCAATTCCTGTCAGTTTAAGGGTACATTGTAGAGCTGAACTTTTGAGTTACTGTGCAAGTTTTGTTTTTTTTTTTTTTCATGCTGTCATTTGTAAAATGTTTGTGCAAATCCTTGGGATTAAAGTTTTGGTTATAAATTGTTGTTGAACTTGAAAGCCTGTTTTTCCTTGCACATTCAAATCTGTGAGCTTGGTACCAAGTCCAGGTATAACATTCCTATTGGAAGCCATACTTATATTTTCTTGTAAAGTGCTTTTGAATTAATAAAATATTAGCATAATTGTGCAGTAGTCAGTTGAACACTGTTAACCATTGTTCTTACCCCATGGAAAGCACTTGGTTACCAGTTAAGAAACACCTGAGTGGCACTGGAGTAATGAAGGGAGCTTTGGTTATCACCCGAAGTGATTATTAGTGGTTACCCTTTTTTTAGGAGTTGAAGCCAGTTCAGGATCCATGATGCTTAATGACATTTTAAAGTAAGCACCGATGTGTATTGTAACTGAAAAGTAAGTTGCCCATTTAAAAAATGGTTTTGATCTTCAGCATGAAAACGTTCCACAAAGTTTTTGAAAATTGATACCATTTTATAATTTGAGGTGTTGCATGGGAATTCCAAACTAATACATTATGATGTAAAATTCACAATATGGTTCAAATGTAATGGTGCGCAGTGAATATGGAGGCATGCATAACCTTCCTCTTAGAAATCTGGAGGAGTTGTGATTTCAGATTTTTTTTGTGCAATTAGATTAAATCATAATGCAACAGTCTTGTGGCTTAGTTTTCTTAAATGTACTCTTCAAGATAGATTTTTTATTTTTTGGGGGGCTACACTGATTGGGTCTTTAAAACGAAAGATGTCATTGCACTGAGTTCAGACTCTTTAAAAGTTACAAAATAGGATATAAGTCTCCAAAAATGTTTCTGTTAGCTTTTCACATCTGAACAAGAAAACAGAATTGGTGTCCAGAACATCCCAATATAAACCTTTTAATAATGTGCATGTTCAAGGAAGCCACTTGATTCAGCCTCTCTGCATGAGTTAGGAGTTGTTAGGGTTAGACTCTGTCCTTAAGGCTTACCAGTTCTGTTGGGAACAAAGCCAAGATAGCTGGTCTACAGAAATAATAGACCGATTACACTGGTAATTCAATACTACAGCAGGGTCTACTCATTTTCAGGTAGCCTAATTTGGTTCACGGATGATCATTATTTTGGTCACTTAACTGGAAGCCCTAGCTTAAGTTTTGATGGTTTATAGAAAATACAGAGGCTGGGTGTGGTGGTGTACCAGAGGTAGGTAGATCTTTTAGAGGCCAGCCTGGTCTACATAGAGTCAGCTGGGTCTATAGGAAGACTGTGTCAAAAAGACTTAAGAAAAGGTACAGTCTGGAAACTGATAGAACTGTGAACTAACATTTAGTTTGTGGTTATTTGGAAATGCTAAAGCTGTAATTAGAGATCATATTAGCCAATTTTGATCACTGTAATACTGAAAAGTTGGTACAACTTTGACCTGGTAATAACTACAGATGTTAACTAGGGATCATTATTACCACACAGGGATAGGCAAGCATTTCAGATTTAGGGTTATGGGGTTCCCATTTTAATATGGGTTGCCTCTGGCCTTATATTTACCAGTGTCATGATTGATAGATGGTGTCTACTCCAGCATGTATCTGAAATGGGATATCTTGGGTCCCCCCCTCCTTTTTTAAAGATTTTAGATCCCTTGTTTCTTTTTGGTACAGTGCTGCTTAATCAGAATGATGTCGATCATAGTTTTAAGTAGTATTACAGCTAGATTCTAGACCCATTAACAGTTCCTACAATGACCTAGCACTGTTAATTTGGAATTTAAGGGTTATAAACATAGTTGCCAAGAAACTGCTTTAGTGCTTCATCTAAATGTGCTTTTGTTTTCAGAATCCCGAATGGGATTTAGTTGTCCAGACTAGTTCGTAATCTCTTCCACCTGTGTATTTTTGTACTGCCAGACTGTTGCCTTCTGGTTTTCCATTTTTTTTTTGAGAACAAAAGATTTTTGTAATTAAAGACACTGACGAAAAACTGGGTTGGAGTATATTTTCCTCTATAAACAATCTGGTAATGTTGAATTTGGTTTTATATGCCTGTACTTAATCTCGCCCTCTTAACGGATTCACTGAATATCTGAAAAGTGACCTTGTGGCAAGCACTAAAGATTCTGAGAAGGGGTGGTTGAAACTTGCCTTGATAAGCCTAGTGCAACTGTCTGGTAATGACGTTTCCTTTGGATTACCGAATGCCTAGTACAGTATTAGCTTTACCGCTGTTCTGTGTCTCAATAATCTGAAACACATGACAATAGCCAAATAACAAAAATGAGTCCCAAAGTATGAGATGACATACACGTACCAACATTGCTTTTCTCACCCTTTTCCCTCAGTTCTAACAAAGTATTGAAGTCAGAATGACAGTTTTAGTGCTTTAGGTTAACATGATTTGAACAAATAAAAATCTGTAACCCAAGTAGGCTCTGAAGGCCTCATGATCCTCCTGCCTCTCCCAAGGAGCCAAGACTATGAGGCTTGTGTTACTAGGCCTGGTTTATAATGAAAGCTGTAAACAGCCATCTCTAGCGCCCCTCTCCCTTTTAAATTTGTTGGTGTGGGCCCATTTGCGTTCCACAACCTCCATGTATGGTCTTCAGGAGTTGTTTCCTCCTGTGGGTTCTAGGGATTTTGAACTTGTTTTCAGGTTTGGCAGCAGGCAACCTTACCGTGTGAGTCGTCCTGCTTGCTGGCCCATACTTTGGGGGGGACCCTCATGCTTGATAAGGTCTTGTACCCAGCACTTCCCTCCTTTTAAAGCCCGGAGTCTCTACACAGTCTTGTTCCGCTCTTAGGGGGGAGTTTGATAATAAGGCTCCCCAAACTTACATATTTATGATGTGAGGAGGGATGCCCATGTGTGGGCTCCCAAGGATTGAAAGGTCTTCCCCAAAAACCCCACTTCAAACCAAGAGGAATACTAAGATGTATCATGCCTTTTGGTGAAGCCAGGTAGGATTTGGTTGCTTGGATTGATCATTCGGAAAATGAAACATGGGTATAACAAATACTGAGTGGGTTTTTTTTGTGGATTTTTTTTTTTTTTTTTTCAATCTGCAAAGGGTGGGTATGCCTTTAATCCTAGCACTCCAGCAGGGAGAGGCAGGCAGGTCTCTGAATTCAAGTTCAGCTGGTAATACAGGGACTGACCCTGTTTCAAAAGGACCAAAAAACAACAAAAGAGGAACACTAAGATGTTTTGTTGAAACCAGATAGAATTTGCTTGCTTGGATCTTAAAAGAATTTCTAGATCTGCAGCTCCGTTATTTTTTTTTCGTGGGCACTTTGCCATCAGGGTTTCATTACGAGAATTTTATGAGATGGTCTCATGTAGCTCAACTGTTATGGAGAGCTTATGCCTTCCATTTCAGATGCTGACAAGTGGCTGGCTCAGGTGGGATTTTTGTTTTTTGGTCGTTTTGAGACAGGGTCTCCCTGTAGCCCCAGCTGTCCTGGAACTCACTATGTAGACCAGACTGGTCTTGAACTCACAGAGATCCGCCTGCCTCTGCCTCCTGAGTGCTGGGATTAAAGGCGTTTAAAAGATTTTCTGTGTATGTCATGCAGTGGCCACAGAGGTCAGAAGAGGAAGTCAGATCCCCTGGAATTGGAGTTAATGGACAGTTGTTAATGACCATGTGGGTCCTGGGAACCAACCCAGGTCCTCTGCAAGAGCAGCCAGTGCGCTTAACCACTGAGTCATCTCCAGCTCCTGGCCTCAGGTTTTGTTTTGTTTTTGAGACAGCATCTCCTTGTAGCCCCAGCTGGCCTGGAACTCCCTATGTAGACCTGGTTGGTCTTGAACTCACAGTGATTACCTATGCCTAAAGTCCTGGCTTCCAGTATGCATGGGGCATGGTAGCACATGCCTTTCAATCCCAGCACTGGGGAAGCAGAGGCAGACAGGTCTCTGAGATCAGGCAAGCTAGGGCAGAAGGGAGGACACTCCCCAATTGCACTGACTTTCATCCCCAGCACATGCTTGTGGTCCCAGCACAACCTGGATCAGAAGTTCCAGGTCACCTTATTTCTATTTTACGTGTATGAGTGTATTGTATGCATGCATGCGAGTGTACCTGTGTGTGCATTGGATTCCCAGGAACCTGGAAGTTAAGGATGGTTTGCAGCTGCCATGTGGGTGCTGGGACTCAAGCCCAGGTCCTCTGCAAGAACAGTAATTGCTCTTAACTGCTGAGCCATCCCTCTAGCCCCAGGAGTGCCTTAACTTTTTAACACAAGTGTTCTGGTGAAATCTGATGGTCTTTGGGAGACAGTGCTCAGAGTGGAATGAAGAAAGCACATTCTGTACCCCTGAGCTTTGCTTGTAGCTGCCTGAATGTTTGGTTTGGTTTTGATGGTGCTGGGGTTGAAGACCAGAATCACTGGCATGGTGTTATGCTGCCCAAAGATCTACCACAAAACTGAATCCTTCTGCCACTCTGAGGTGTGACTTGGCAGCCAGTCTGACTGCTGTAGACCAGTACCTACAGAAGTAGAGAAGGTTACAGTGATTCCCCGGCTGGTTCATGCATTCACCTGTCTAGGTTTAAATGGGAACAGTGGGAATGTGTTGACTGGCTTCAAGGAATGAGGTGGGGAGTCACTTGTTGAGTGCAGTTGGGATAGGCGAACAACGCTGATGAGGACTCAGGACAGTCGTCTTGCCTCAAACTACTGGGGTTGGTTCTGGAAGCTTCAAGGACAGTTGGTGTGATCTGAAAAGGCGTAATTACATTTGATAGGACAATTTCATACACAGCGCTGAACCATTTGAGAAGACTGTCAGGAGAGCAGGGCACCACAGGTCCTCACCTAGGCCCTCTGACAGCACAGCCTTTCCAGTGTATTGTAATTATAAGGTGAATGATAAATGTTAGTGGGATGGAAATGGAAAGTAAGGCTGCTCTTACTGGTCTTTTGTTTGTTTTCTTACGGATCAATTTTATTTTGTCTGGATCTATGCACATGAATGTGGGTGCTGGTGGAGGCCAGAGGCATTGTGCATGGGATCCACTGGAGCTGAATTATAGGCGGCTGTGAGTTGCCTGAATGGGTGCTGGGACTTGAACTCCTGTCCTGGAAGAACAGTATATACACTTAACCACTAACCACTGAGCCTCTGTCCAGCACCCCCCCCATCTGTCCTCTAAATTAACCATGGTTTTCTTATTTTTATATATGTGATCAAGTATGCAGGCGGAAATCAGTTAACCATGGTTTCAACACTTCATTTTCACACCTGAACCGTATATAAAATTCATGTTGGGGCTTTGTGTGAAGTCACATTACTGAGATGCTTGAATAAGGACAGGCTCTTGACATCCATTTTGTTTTGAGACAGGATCTCCCTAGCCCCAGCTGGCCTGGAATTCAATGGAACCGGCGGCTGTGTAGACTAGGCTGACCTGGATCTTAGAGGGATCTGTCTGCCCTACCCTCCAGGTGTGCACACTGACATTTAGCCTCCATCTTAGCCAAGAGGGTACCTGAACTGCTCAGAGCCCCTTCAGATTACTCCTTGAACAGTGCTCATGAAAGGACTCACTCTTACTGAACAGCTTGAAATGGGAAAGCAAAAATGGACCCTTATGAGACAATTTTGTGCTTTCTGACCCCTGCTGACCTATGCTAGCAACACACACAACAGAACAACCAGAAGCAGTTTAGTCTGTGTATTTGCAGCACCATTGGGTATCTGTTGCTTCCAGCTGATCTCTGCTTTTTGTAGGGAATGATATGCAAAACACATTCCAGGGCAAGGAAGGGACAGGAGAGGAGCTGTATGCCCAAGTCTTCAGAACTCAGTGGGCTGTTTACATTATAAACAAGCCAAGACTGATACACTTGCTGTTGTAAGGTAAAGTAAAAATTCCCACAGCATGTGCACTAGAGATATAGCCCACTATATGGGCAAGTTTTGTCTTTGGGGTTTTTTTTTTTTTTTTTTTTTTTTGTCTTTGAGGACAGTGTCTCCCAGTAGCCCCAGCTGACCTGGAACTCACTATGTAGATCAGGCTGGTCTCGAACTCAAAAGTGATCTGCCTGTTTCTGCTAGGATTAAAGGCCTATACAACCATGCCTCGCAAGTTCTCTTTTTTCAGACAGCCTTGAACTTGGGGCAATCTATCTGCCTGTCTCCCAAGTTGTGTACCACTGTTATCTATTGAAAGGGGAAGTTTTTGACAAATATACCTTCCAAGTCTGGTACCTGATCCAGGCTCACCATTGGGGTGAGACAGCAGTAGGCAGGAAGGTTCAAGTAGAAAAGCAGTGTTTAGACACTTTAGTTGGGGGAAGAGTTTGAAGAGGAGAGGGGCTTGGCAAGTTGTATTTGACTGAGGTGAAGCTAAACCCAGGTTGCAGGGCCTGGAACTTCCTGTATAGACCAGGTTGGTCTATATCTTGACTTGGGCAAATACTTCAAACACAGCTTGGAAGCTGGAAAGATGTCTCAGGTTAAGAGCACTTCCTCCTCTTGAAAGCTACCCAAGTTCAATT